TTATTATTATTATTATTATTATTATTATTACTGTCCATCTTGAATAAATAGTGGAAAGAGGAAGCTTTAGAGTTCACAAGGTCAATACTGTATGGAACAAAACTGTGACTGAATCTGGATGTTCTGCTTTGGATACCATGAAGCCTCCTACCAGAAGGTAACAAGGAAAACAGGTTGTGAAGAGGATGTCTAGTGTCCCAGACAATCATGTGGCCTTTGCTGAAGCAATGCTTTTTATGCTATGTCCTGGATGGAAGGGAGGGAACTGCCAATAATCTTTTTTGCTATCCTCACTACTTTCTCTGCACCACCTTCCTGTCTGAAGCAGTGATGCTCTCAATCATCCCTCTATAGACAGTGGTAAAGACAGGGGAAGAAACATGTACTTTTCTCATGTGATGCAGAAAATGCAGGTGCTGCTGTGCTCGCTTTTCCAGTGTCTCCTTGTTGAGCGACCAAGCCAGCCTATTTGTTAAGTGCACACCCAGAAATTTGATGCTGGAAACCATCTCCACAGGTGAATCATTAATACACAGACGAGTGTGGCCGTGCCTGCCTTTTCTGAATAATAGAAATAAGTTCTATTATTATACTGGGATTTAATCCCAAACTGTGGGTTGCACAGTTTCCTAAGCCAGTGATTCTCAACCTTGGCAATTTTAAGATGCATTGACTTCAATTCCCAGAGTTCCTCAGCCACGGTATTAAAGTTGTTAAGGTTGAGAGGACTGCTCTAAGCTACTGTATGTTTTTCATCCCTATGAACGTTCATGGTGGTATTAAGAGAACAGAAAATGGTCAGGTGCCTGGAAAAGTTCATGATTCCATACCATGTTCTGCAGAGATGAAAAAGAACAACAATAATTAATATATTGATTCAGTGTAATATGTAATTAATAGCCTTAGATTATCTAATGTGATGGTCAGTGCCATCAAGGAAATTTGCAATCTCAAATGTAAAAACAATGTAATTTGAGTACTCTTATTTCACAACATCTAGTCTGAATTGGCTTTACATAATATTTTTCTGGACAACTTAGTTCTTTGTGTAAATGTATGTATATGGAAATATGTACGAGTATCTACAACTATCAGAAATTATTAACAGGATTGTGATTAGAGCAAAACATTTATGAACAAAACCTTACAAACATAGTAGTAGATGAGAAAAAACAGAAAATAAGGAAATTTCTAATTCAGTTTCTAAAATACTTGTATTTGTCTTATCTCTAGGAAGACATATTCATTTTCCTGATAATTTACCAATTCATACAATGTTTCCGGATGGTGCATCTGTTTCTTCAAATGACAAGGCTGAGATGATTCACTGAAAAAAAGAATACACATAGACTGAACATTAGTCAAGATATGTTTAAATCAAGCCACAGTATTTTTGAAATCCATGGCATACAGTTTAGTTATAATAATGTCTCAGAACCATGATTTTCAGTAGTAACTGAACCCTAATCCTAACTAACATAAACATGAACAGATCTGATGTTATATCCTATCTCCTGGCTAAGGTGCTTCAAAGTAATTTATTTACTGGCCACAATGTGACAACAATAAAATCATCCATCAATATATAATTTCAATCTCCATGAAACCATTTAGAACATGTTATACATACAATATCCTGTATTCCATTTTTGCTTCTGTGCCAGTCATGTATGTCCAATACTAGATAAAAGTGACAAAATTATGAAAGCCATTAGCTTGCTTCTTAACATACAGTGTCTCCTAGCATATCCAAAATTATGTACAGATAAAGTACAGTTACATTAAACTCATTTTTCTAATGTATTATATTGTGTAGTTATCTTTAAAAAGACTAAATGTATTTCTCATCAACCATCTGCAGTTTCATAAGCCATACTGGAAACCATCTGATAATTGCTAACAGTTAACTAGACAATCACAGATGCTAATCCAACAGAATTCTTTGGACCCTCTTTTATATGTGTGTACATATGTTGTGGGGTGTTGATATAGGTCTACCTGTCTTTCTGTCTGTCATCACACTATTTCTAGAAATATGCCAACTTTGTAAAGGCTGATTATACAGTAAGTGTATAAAATGACATCTGACATTCCATTACGGGACTACTATGAACCTAAAATAACTAATGATCAATAACAGAAAGAAGTATTCTTCTATTGCTCGACTCTTCTTCTTTTAACTATGTATCATACTTATAACATTTGAGGGTGCTTTTTTTGCCTTTCCCCCCACTTTTTTTGGCTGCAGTAGATAATTTCCACAAAATTTGCCAATGTACATGCCTCACTGCAAATACTCAATTAGCCTTGGAATATTGAAATGCAACACACTGAAGCAGATTTTTTTTCCTCCAAATATTGACAAAAGGAATTCAGTGCCTATTTTTATTTAATCTCAAGCATAAACACACCACTGAGTTACAATCCATTGCCATATTGTTCTGGTACTAAAACATATTTTAGAGTCCAAAATGCAAGTGACAACTGGAAGCCTTCCGGGTTTCCAAGGCCTTCTACTTGTAGAAATTTGCTTGCCTAAAATAATGAATAATGAACCCATTACCTCCCTGACTGTGGCCTGCAGTGTACAAAGAGATATTAGGAGCAATTTGTACTCAACATGCAGGTCTGTTCCATCTAAAATGTTATCAATGAGCTTGTCAAGCCAAGGTCTAAGCTTCTTTGTTATTTTCATCTGCTTTCCCTCTTGGATCTCTCTGCTTGTGCCTGTAACCTCTGAAGACTAGCAACAGGATGTCTTACACCTGTTTTGTCTAATGCTGGGACTTGGAGTCCTGCGCGATATTCTGTAGGCATTGGCTGGCTTGCTGCTTTGCTCAACATATATGTCAGAATGTCAGATGATCGTTGTTGCATCTGCAGCTGTTGCATAAGAACAGTGCCAGGGGCACAACTTTCCTGCGGTGAGCTTTAATTTGCTCTACTCTCCCAGAAGACTTCCCTCACTTCACCTTGCTGAGGCTGTGACAGCTGTATAGGAATGGAGCCCATGTACAGTTGAAGCCAATTGTACCAGGAAAGAAAGTCAGACTAAAACCTAGGCTTTAGGTTACATAAACAAAGCCTCCATAAATAAAGTTCAGTTTCCATACATAGAGATATGATGAGGAAACAGATTCTTATTTGCTCCCCCTACATAAACTGGTTCAAAACTGTGATAGAAAATGATAAAGGATTCATATCTTCAAGTAGGTCAATTACTGATTCATTTGGAAACTATGCCAGAAGAGTTCCTTGAAGTCTAAATAAGATATAACCTGTCAAAATATTCATGGGGGACATAAGTAAGTTTTATGACTGGTTTCAGAATTAGGTTGACAATCAAAACAGCTGTAGAGTGTGATGGCAACTGGACTGCCAAAGGCAAAACAATAGCACAACATTCTCTTGTCATCTTCTGTGTAGGAGGGTGCTTGTAACTCATGAATAGAAGTAGGCAATAAGCAGAACTAGTCACATTAAGATTTATTAACATAGAACATACATGTGTGCTTTATATTTTTCAACAGAAATGAACGAGAATCTTCACAAAAGATCTACTGAGCATTTTCATATTTCTGGTTCAAGCATCAGATTTTCAAATTCTGGAAAGGTATGAGGTAATAATTATTTTCTCCAATGGAAAGCAAGCTTGAAACAAAATTTTAGAAAGATGATGTAACCGCATACATTGCTTAATGGTGTTTTTCCTTCAATTCAAAAACAATCCTTTGCCAAGGGACATTGAAATATAATTTATAGAATTGATAGAATTGATACCTATGGGATCCTCCAAGCTAAGACCCACATGGTTGACCTCTCCTTTTCCTGACATTGATTGGTACTGACTGTTCAGAGGTGACACAATGTCCCTAAACCACAAATCTTATAATTAGTCCAACAAAACACCATGATTGATGGCATAAAACACCAAATACCACACAGAGTTCTAAGAAGGCCAGGGAGGGCTGTACTTCCTGTATCCAAGTTTTTCCTTCTTTAGCGCTGAATGGGATGGCACTCTCTCACACAAATTGATGGCAGTTTGGAAGTCATTTTGGACTGTAATAAAAAAAATCTTTTAATCTTGAAGGACAGAAGAAGAAATTGTTACCAAGGTAACAATCAGATAAATGAAACCCAAGCAAAGGTCATAAAAGAGCCATGGTGGTGCAGTGGTTAGAATGCAGTATTGTCAGCAGTTTGATCCTGACCAGCTCAAGGCTGACTCACCCTTTTCATCCTTCTGATGTCCTGGGGCAATATGCTATCTCTGTAAACTGCTTAGAGAGGGCTGTAAAGCTCTATGAAGCAATATAAAAATCTAAGTGGTATAAAAGTATTTTGCCAAAATATCTCAGACAGTTTCCCTTCCCAATTGTCATTGATGTAAAAAAGGAAGGAAAACAACATGTTTAAACTTGCAAGATAATTTGATAAAAGATCTGAACCAGTGACTGGTTTATGCTGGTTCACAGAATATGGCTGATATGGACTTGTCGGCACTGTTCAAAGACTAGGTGACAGCTGTATCCTGGAAAGTCTTTACATAGGTTCATCTTGTGTACCAAATGTGGCTATTTCTGGAATAGGAGACTCTACACATTCATGTCTTAGTCACCTCCTGTTTGTAATGGACTCTACACTGGACTTCTCTTGAAGAATGTACAGAAGTTGCCATGTGTCCAGAATGCAGCAGCATTGGCAGTTATGAATGTTTCACAATATGTTCAGCTAACGATGCTCCTATGTGAGCTGCTTTGTCTTCTAGTAAATTTCTGAGTATTACTTATCACTCATAAAGTTCTACACAGCACAAGGACAGGTTGTGTGTGGGATTGCCTGTTTCCAGTTGTTTCTGACTGAACCTTCACAAAGTGACAGAATGGGCATTCTCTAGGTCCTTCCTGTCAAGGAGTGTCATCTGTGGAACCCAGGAGTCATGTCTTCTCTGTCACAGTATTTGCCCTGTGGAACAGCATTCCCCTGGAGAAGTAGATGGCCTTGACCTTATTGGCTTTTTGCGTTAAAAATTTGGTTGTTCCCTTAGGCATTTGAATCAGGATATTAAGCAATCCTTGCTGGTTGGTTTGTCTGGCTGTGGTCTTGTTACAGATCATAAATATAGTTTTTTATTAATGATTTTCTGTTGCTTATTTTTTATTAATTGGATTGGCGTGTCTTCTTGGTTTTAATATATTAATCACCTAGAATCAGTGATATTCTTCTGTGAGATGGTTAACCACATACATTGCTTAAATACATACATATGCATATATGCATAAAAATATAATGATGAATGTTTCAATCATTTTCCCACCACAGGGCATCTATGGAATTAGTTTGTAACTTAGATGAGTGAAATGAGAATTATCTGATGTTACTATAGTCAGATGGCTCTGGAATCAGTCAAGATGAGGACTTTTTCTCCCCCTTTTTTCTCTGCTGTTGGGTCTCCTGTCTGTGACCGGAATGTACCTCAGGTTGGAACTGCTGGCCCTGCGCGATTCCCCCCTCGCGCAGGCATGGCCCAGTACAATCCCAAGGGCCGGCCTCGATGAAGGGGTGTGGGACCCCGAGAGGTGGTGTGCAGCAAGGGAGCTAAAGAGGAAAAAATTGAAAGCTTTCTTAGAAGNATTAGGTTTGGGAAGTCCGGGGTGGGTGGGGGGAGGGGGGTTTTATAGCTTTATAGCATTGTGTAATATTTGTGTTGTTTTTCATTATGATGAAAATAATAAAATGTTTGAAAAAAAAAACATTTACTTTAACTTTGTCATACCATAGGTAACCATGCCATCCAAATCTTAATTCATGACCTTCTAAATCAAGTAGCCTCTTATTTTGGAGGTTCACCCACTCTTTTAGCCAGACCAAACAGCAAGCATCAAAATACAATTTCAAGTCCGGTAGACCCAAACCTCCTCTCTCCTTAGCATCTTGCAAAAGTTTATATCTAATTCTTGTTTTTTTCCTTTGCCATATGAACTTAGAAATATCCTTCTGCCACTGTATAAAAGGAGTATCAGTCGCAAGTATTGGTAACGTCTGAAAGAAAAAAAGCATCTTTGGTAAAACATTCATCTTAATTACAGAAATTCTACCCAATAATGATAAATGCAATTTATCCCATCTTAATAAATCCTTTTTGATATCATTCCAAAGAGGCACATAGTTATTTTGAAACAATTTTGCATTTGTATTTGTCAATATAACCCTCAAGTATTTCACCTTTTTCTCAACCTTAAAACCAGATTTTTTAATCAATATATCACAGTCCTGAGAGGTCATATTCTTAATAAGCATTGTTGTTTTCTGTTTGTTTATTTTAAACCCCGCTAAGACTCCAAACTCATTTAATTTTCTCATCAAATATTCTATATTATTTTTTGGGTCTTGCAAAAATATAACCAGGTCATCAACAAATGCCCTCAATTTGTGAAATTCCTTTTTGATATTTATACCTACTGTTTTCTCATCTTGCCTAATATCTCTGTTCAGGACTTCCAATACCAATATAAACAACAAGGGAGATAAGGGGCATCCTTGTCTCATACCTTTTTGTATTTTGTGTGATTTGGTTAAATCTCCATTAATAATAATTGTCATGGTTCCGACTAATGAAACACTTCAAAGAACTTCCAGGCATTGTTTACCCTAAAAAGTCTTTATTTTGTGTAACAGAGTGTCGGCACAGCATGGATGGATGCCAAGATCTGAATTCCCCTTCCTTGCACATAACATTCCAGCCTATTCCCCTCCCCTATTTTGCAGTCATAAATCACGTTCTCCAATCAGCCCGAAGGGCAAAGGTTCACTTCCGTTCTGTAGCCCACACATTCCTTATCTTTCTCCTCCCCTCCCAGCATCATCTAAGTTAACTCTAAAAATACCAGACAGTTCTGCATATTTTGTCAAAGCAAGAATATCCAATATTAGCAGCATTGACATCCGGCCCCCCTTACAAAAAGCATAGGTCCTGTATGTAAACAAAAGTATATGTCAGGGATTATCTCTTGGTTTGTTGGGGTTTTTCTCATGAAACTTTTTGATCAGTCGGTCAGCCTTCACATCGCTAAATTTCACCCAAGTAGCTTCGGACAGCGAGTACCCCTTCCGTTGTACTAGGTACTGCAATTTCCCTTTAAAAATTCTAGAGTCAAGAATACGTTTCACTTCATAGTGAGTCTGACCCGCTACTATGAGGGGCCCGGGTGCCTTCTTAGGGGGAAGTCTTAAAGTGGAGCCCCGATAAGGTTTTAACAAGCTGCAACTTTGAACTGATAGCTCCCCATAGGGCAGTTGAAGGCAGTTTTCCACTCGTCTCCCTCCTTTATTCTCACCCGGTAGTATGCCTCTCTCAGGTCTGATTTAGTGAAGATCCTTCCCTTAGCCAGGTGGGTTAGTAAGTCTTTCAGGAGGGGGAGGGGGTATTTATTTTCCACACTCACCGCATTCGATGCAAAGACGAAGAGACCCAACTTTTTTTTCTTTAAATAACACAGGGGCTTTCACAGTAGACTTGGCTCATTCAATGAACCCCCTCGCTTGGTTTTTGTTCACGTCTCGCTGCATCTCCTACATTTCGAGGGGGGACATAGCGTACATTCTCGGTCGTGGGAGTTTGGCTCCTGGCACCAGTTCGATGGAGCAGTCATTGGGTCTGTGAGGGGGCAAGGCATCGCATTCTTTTTCACTAAATGCCTCCGCTAGGTCCCAGTATTCGCTGGGGATGAGTGGTTCGCCTTGTGACGGTGAGGCAGCCATGTGCGCTCGCTCATTAGGTGGCCTAAAGTGTCCCGCAACGTTGGTTGAATCAGTGGGGGGTTTAGGCCCTATAGGTAGTCTCACAGTTCTCATTCCTTTCTCCCACCAGATAAATGGTTTCCATTTGTCCAGCCAGGCTAGCCCTAGGATCACAGTCTCAGTCATTTTTGGAGCCACCAGGAAGCGAATAAACTCCCAGTGCTCACCTATTTCTAGGCGTAGGGGTTCAGTTAATTGCATGAATAGAGTCCCTCCCATCAGGGAGCCATTGGCTTGCTCAAACCTCACAGGCTTGGAGAGCAGTTTTGCTCGTATGCCCAATTTCATGGCAAATGGCAAGCTAATGATGCAACGGGAGCATCCAGAATTGATTAGCACGTTTAAGTCTATTTGTGCCCCCAACCTAGGGATTATACGTTTGGCAGGCAGTGAAAAAGGCGGGACGTGTCAACTCACCATCGGGTCGTTCTCTCCTTCATTGTTGCTGTCAAAGGAGGGTAGAGCAGGGGCAGGTCCACCCGGAGTCCCGGCATTCTCCTGTGTGGGGGGTGTAATCCGGGCAACCGGGTCCTGCGTGATCCAGTTGGATTTCTCTCTCGTTAGCCGCTGGGCAGGTTTCCTTCTCGCCGCTGGTTCCGGTCTGCTCTGTAGTCGGGGGTAGGGGACTGGACAGTTTGCTGCTCGATGTCCCTCCTGTCCACACCGAAAACACTTAATTGATGGGCCTGCAGGTGGCCTGGGTCTCTCAGCCATTGCAGTATTTGGAGGTTTTCGTGGGGGTGATTGCTGTTCGGGTTGCTCTGGCTGCTGCTCGGATTCAGGTGGGGGAGGCTTCTTATAGGGGGCGAGCTGAACGTCTAGCTTCACCGCTACCTGGTACCATAGTTGCAGCTGATCAGGTACTCCTCCATAGATGCATGCTTGACGCCCTGCGCACAGTCACTCATGCCCTCGTTACCTCCCGCCTGGACTATTGTAATGCTCTCTACATGGGGCTCTCCTTGAGGAGCACCCGGAGGCTTCAACTGGTCCAGAATGCGGCCGCGCGGGCGGTGTTGGGAGGGACTTGTCGCTCCCATATAACACCGCTGCTGCGCGAGCTGCACTGGTTGCCGGTGGCCTTCCGGGTGCGCTTCAAGGTGTTGGTTATCATCTTTAAAGCGCTCCATGGCATCGGACCTGGATATCTCCGAGACCGCCTTCTGCCGCAGGTTGCCTCCCATCGGCCGGTACGCTCCCACAGAGTGGGTCTCCTCAGGGTGCCATCAGCCAGACAGTG